GAAAATAGCAGTGGCTGGAGGTGACTTCTGAGCATTTTTTAAAGGATTTTTATGTTCATAAAAAGTGTTTCCACTCACTGGCGCAAGTTGCTCAGAGAAAATGAAGTCTTAAATTTTGAAGATACTCAGGACATGGTCCTGAACATGGCTTTGGTGGCCCTGCTTGAGCAGGGAGCCTGGATAAAAGGATTTCCATGTGGAACTGGATGCTGCACGTCACCAAGCTGTGGGGTGTCCTCAGGAGGTGGCAGTGCCTGGAGAAGGCTCCTAGCCTTGCTTCCCAGGGCACAAATAAAACACATCCTCGAGTCATATGGCAGAGCTTTTTTACATTTTTTTTTTTCCTAATATGCCTATTTTGGGAAAATGGGCTAGAGAGTCCTAGATTAGCTCCAGTATTTTGGACACTAGTCCTACTTTTGTGCGTGTACCCAGAAGAATTTAAGTTTTGATACAAACGCAGTACCTGGACTTTTAAAAGCACTGGGTAAATAAGAGCCTGTCTGAACATCTCCCAGGAATAAAGGACTTGGAGCTGGCAAAGGAGGGCTGCTGTCTGGAATGTGAAGCCAGACACATTCCAAGTAGAAATTAAGCACAAATTTGTAGTGGAGAGGGTGATTAATCACCAGAACGAACTGGAGGGGATGGATCCTTGGTCTCTTTGAGGCAGGATGTCCTGGGACAGAAGTTAAACCAGGTGACAGCTTTGCTTCACACTGGCCTCAGTGTAGAGAAGCCTGTTGAATTCAAAATCATTTAGGTTGGAAAAGACCTCCAAAATAATCCAATTTGATTGAGTCCTACCTTTGACAGACGCTTGTCACCCAGCATTGAGTGACACATCCAGTTGTGCCTTGGGCACCTCCAGGGATGGGGACTCCACCACCACCCTGGGCCCATTCCAATGTTTAAAAACCTTTTCCATGAAGAAATTCTTCCTGATGTCCAGCCTGAACCTCCCCAACACGTTCATGGACATGTGTACACACGTGTGCACAGGGTCCACCCAGAAGACCTGACAATTCCTACAGACCTTAAGCTGTACATTGAGTAAAAGACCTAAATTTTTAAAATTTTTGCTGTTTCTAGGGGAGTATTGATTCGTAATCATGCATGGAGTTGGGGATCTGCCGTTACTGCAAGTTCAGCAGTGGTAGAACTTTGTTCTTAGGGCTGAATTTCTTCACCAGCCTGGACCTTGGTGGCTCTGCATTTCAGGAGTGTGTGACAATTGTCATGGTGGGGCCTCTGCTGTGTTCAGCCACTGCCCTGGGTGGCTTTAAGCCAAAAATTCAGCCCCTCTGTTCATGTTTGACTTAGGTCAAAATCTTGACGTTTGTCTTCCCCAAAGACAAAAGCTTTTAGTTTGTTACTTGTAAAGCCCATTTTAAGAACTCACCAAGGAAGGTATTAGTGAAATATGAAATGATGGCTTTTAAAAAAAAATTATACTGTGTGAGTCACTCAGAAATTAAAAGAGAAAATTAGTTTCTCTTCCAAATAAGTGATATCAGCCTCATCTTTACCAAGTGACTTTCTCCTTGCTTCTGCTGGGTGTTGTGGATCAGGGTGAACTCTACTTCAAAACATTTAATTGCACACAGTGAGAAATGAAGAAAACTGAAGGGGATCCCAAGAATGTATTAAAAATCAGAACTAAAATGAGAATGATTTCATGTCAAGTGAGACAAATGCAGAGTTGATACTCCAGTGCTTCACACTTCCACTTGTCCTTGGCACCGAGAAAATGAGATTTTTAATATCTGAAAAACAGATTGCCATGAAGACTCATCCATTGTAAATTTAAGCTGCCTTTATAGCAACTTAAGCTGGGGACAAGATTGTTCATTACATCTGATTCTACAACTGCAGCCATGATTTCCATATTAATAGTGACTTTTTTTTTTTTATTGTCTCTACCAGAAATAGGAAGGGGAGCTGGTTGTGTTTTCCCTGGCTTAGCAGATAATTTATTTAATGAATAATGAGAAAAGGGCAAAGGTTTGTGAGTTCTTACTCCCATATCACCACAAAGAGTGGTGACACCTGCCTTGGCTGCTGTGCTCAGACTGCTTTGGTGCTAAAAGGAGACTGAGGGAAAGAGGGATATTGAATCATGATTCAGAGTCAGGAATTGTTACTGATGGAATTTCTGTTGGTCAGGATTGAACTGTTCTGACTCAGATTTTAGGTGAAGGCTTTGCTTGTTCCCTGCCTGATGTGCCCTTAAGCTACAAAAGCATTGGAGCAACTTCTCACATGTGTCTGGGGGTGGGGAAGGTATTTCTGTGCCACTGAACTTTAGACCAACGTGGAGTCAAAGACTGTTTGTGCCCCTTTTCAGTAGTGGCCGCTGGGGCTGGCAGCGCCTGGAGGAAGCACCAGCTTCCTCTCCTTTCTCTGGAGCTGGGTTTCCTTTCAGCAGCCCTGCTCCCAAGGCAGACCTGAGCCTTCCCTGTCCTTCCTTACTTCGTCTGGGACGGTTTGTGGTTGTATTCTGGGTGTAGTAAACCTGCCTGGCACTTCGACATAGCAAAACCAGAGATTTATCCCTGGTTTCTCATGGATTTGCTGCTGTTTATTTCTGCTGAAATCCTGTCGTCCTCTGTCTGCACTCACAGATCTGCAGTCTCTTGGAAAAGCTCATCTTCCTCCTCTAATCACGTCCCAAATTTGGTCTAGATCCTAATGGCTCTTCTCTTAAAACATCTGAGTTCCATACCAGCTTTTTCTTCTTTCATTGCTATCACCAATATCATCCTCCTGCCTTTGTCATCTCAAAACCTGAGTTACAGCAGTCTTTTCTTTGCTTCTCTTATCTCATCTCCTCATGTTCTACTTTTAATCCTGCATTTCATGATGATGGAAAGCAATTTTTTTTTTCCTTTCTGGGTTTTCTTCTTTGCTACATCCATACTCCTCACTCTGGAAGCAGATCTTTCTCTGAGGACTCCAGTTCTTTATCATTAGCCCCTCTGACCTTCAGAAAATTTGTATATATTCAGTCTAATTTGTTCCTCTTTGGAAAACAAAACAGCTCTCTGTATTAAAATTTGGCAAGAAGTCAGCAGCATGATCTCATATTTTTTGTGACTGCCTCAGGGAATATGTTTAAAATGCAGTTAAGAGATTTGACAGAGGAGGGGTTTGGTGGGGAAGACTCTCTAAAAGGTTTGGGGTGGCTGACAGGGAGGGACCTGGGTGTTTGGCTCTTCCATCCATCAGTGGTTTGGTGTCACTGATTCTCTCCCAGCTCACAGGACGTGGCCTGTGGGGTCTGCTGGGACAATTCTTCTTGGTCACCTCTTTCCTGGAGAGAAAGAGGCAGCTCAGGACCTCAGTGTGGGCCAAGTGAGTTGTTCTGGAAGAGCAGCAGCCAACTCTCAGCACCTCCCCTCCCTGGAAACACCCAGAGCTTTTCCTGGCCACAGCTGGGTGGGAGAAGGCTCTTACGGACAGGCTGAAACCTCCCAGGAAAGCTGGTGGTCAAAAGCTGAGTGCTTCCACTCCTGGGAAAGCTCATTCAGCCCAGCCTTTGGTCCTGTAAGTTCATGAGGTTCTTCATGGAGGAAAAAAGGGGAAAAAAACACGTAGAGATAATATCACCATCCCTGGAGGGATTTAGGAGCCGTGTGGATGTGGCACTTGTGGCAGTGCTGGGGTAATAATTTGACTTGATGGTCTTGATGGAGGTGATTCCTCCTTTGCTCTGCTTTGTGAGACCTCATGTGGAATTCTGTGTCCAGCTCTGGGGTCCTCAGCACAGGGAGCTGTTGGAGTGAAACCAGAGGAGGCCACGGAGCTGCTCCGAGGGCTGGAGCCCCTCTGGAGCCAGACTGGGAGAGCTGGGAATGTTCAGCCTGGAAAAGGCTCCAGAGAGACCTCAGAGCGCCTTGCAGGGCCTAAAGGGGCTCCAGGAGAGCTGGAGAGGGACTGGGGACAAGGGATGGAGGGACAGGACATAAGGAATGGCTTCCACTGTCAGAGGGCAGGGATGGATGGGATATTGGGAAGGAATTTTTCCCTGTGAGTGTGGGGAGGCCCTGGCACAGGGTGCCCAGAGAAGCTGTGGCTGCTCCTGGATCCCTGGAAGTGTCCAAGGCCAGGCTGGATGGGGTTTAGAGCAGCCTGGGGTAGTGGAAGGTGTTGCTGCCCATGGTAGGGGGTAGAATGAGATGAGCTTTAAGGTCTCTTCCAACCCCACTCTGGGGTTCTGTGATCTTAGAAGGCTTTTCCAGCCTAACCAGCTCCGTGCCTCTGCATCCCTGTGTGTCCAGTGGGCTCTGTCTGAGAGAGGTGCAGTTCTTCCCCAACATCTTCAGCAGGTGTTGAGGGAGGAAGAGTCATTCTCTAATGTCTGGACCACTTTTAAGCACTGAGAAGAGCCAAGATGTGCCAATCCATGGCTGCTCTCTGTGGATTAACAATCCACAATTGCTGATGTTAGAGATGCAGCAGAGGAAATGATCCCTGTGCTCCCAGCTCCCTGTGCTGCTGTACCCACTCATTTTCTATCCCAGCTCTGCCTGGATATAACATCCTGCTTTTCTCTTTCCTCTTGGTTAATAGTTTGACTTTTGGAGCACTTTCAGTCCGTGTTAGTTTGTGGAGAAAGACATCAGCAGTGATAGCTGAGGAAAATTCTATTAGGTCATTCCTCCTCAGAACACAGTACCTGTCTCCTGAGCTCTTTGCGGATGTTGGCCAAATAATCCTTTTAATAGCTTTTGTGAGTTAAAAGGCTAGGTAACTGTCATAAGGCTAAATGATTGCATAGATTAATTTACTTGTGGCCAAAAGAAATCAATTGTAATTTAAATTTTTGTCTCTGGACTGATTACAACACCAGCCATCAACTTTCTCTATAAGAATCTACCGTGTGCGTTGAAGTCTGTGAGTCTGGATTAGTGACAGATTATCCAGAATGATGTGATTGGATCCCTTTGCCTCTCCCAGACATCTCTAATGTTCTTGGATCTTTTCCTTGTGTCTTCCAGAATGGTGAATAACACTGAAGACCCTCAAGAGGCTTTGTAACGTCCCATCCTCATGTAAAGTATGCTCAGAACTTTTCCAGTAGTGTAAGTACAAGCTGAAGAAACTCATAACAATTAAGAGTAATTTTGGGGCGTTCTTCTGTTAAATTGTCTAGAAAGAGCAGAGAAATGGTTACAATGATTATGAGCAGTTGGCTGAGTTGGAGAGTTTCACTGGTTTAGGGGAAGATTTAAACCTGGAATAGTAAAATAAATAACTGTACATTTAAATTAGGGAGTAGTAATGTTGAATTGCTCACTTGGTCTGGCTCATGAATTGTTTGTGCTTCTGCATTTCTGTCAGTGAAACAGAAGGAAAATGATGCAGTACTTAGAAAATCAGTCTTGATCAGAGAAAAATCAGTGTTAAAGGAGAGATCTCCATACAGCAACTGAACAAATGAGAGGGATAAAGAGTTTAACACCACTCTAGATTTGCTGAAAGGGATGAACCACCTTAAATTTAGTAGCCTCTGGCAGAGACAGAAAACCTAGGGCTCCTCACCTAGCCCTGGTGCTGGATGTGTTAGTCCAAACAACGCAAGAATCTTCAGTGCCAATTGAGGTCGTCCAAATCTCATTGTGGAATTTGAAATCAGTTTGTTCCTTTAATTACTTCTGTCATATAGCTTCAATTTAATTGGTTTCCATGCTGTTTCTTCAATAAATAAGCAAATGAATTCAAATTTTGAAGCTTGTCAGGCTGAAAGGAATGGCTTAACCTGCAGTGTGCTGTCATTCATTTCCCACTGGCCAGTCCTGTGTGGCTGTTCACAATATCCCTGTCACAGGCACAACCAAATACTCATCCCCCATAAATCAGATCCTGAGATACTTTGACCTCTTGGCTTCAGATTGTTCCTTCTGTCAGGTCTGGAAAGAGAAACCTTTTCTGCAGGATAGGTAGCAAGGAGCTGAGCTGCTGTGGATGCATCACTTTTTCCCTGATGGATTATCTCAAGGATGAAGATGTATCCTTGGACAGTGATAGTGCAAGTGGCAGCGCAGTCACAGCCTTCTGTAGGAGTCACAGCAAAAAAATAATGACTGACAGGGATTTAGTGTTGGAAACCAAATTCCAATGGATTTCCAAAAGCCATTAATTAGTGATTTTCTATTGCCGGTGGCTTAGTGTTCTGTTCAAAACTGATGGTTTCCTACTTTGCTGCCAGTCCCTTGAGCCACCTCCTCTTCTTCCTTTTAGCTGGAAGTATGTTGGATTTCAGTATTAAAATCACCACTTGAAATTGTAAAGATCTGGTTCACAGCAGGAGAGAAGTCTGGAGGTAAGGCCACCTCACCCTGGGCATCTTTGTTATCCCAGTAATTTGGAGTTTGCTGGGTGACCTCAGAGCTCCTCTGTGCTTTGAGTGAGCACAAGGACATCTCACAGCTTTGTGTCAGGCTTTGGTCAGAAATTTCCAGACTGGGAATTGCACAGCTTGAATTTCCTGTGCTTTAGCTCAATTTCAGTCGTGTTCTGCCCCTGTTAGTTTTCTGCTGCCACCTCCCAGCAGAGCAGTAGCAGTTCTCTTGGTTTATTCCAGTGTATATGCAGTCAATATGGCCATGGAAGATGCTGTAGAAGTACAGGTGAATAATTTTTGACTGAGGGAAAACTGGGGGGAACTTATTTGGAGGGGATTAGAGAGTATTAAATTAGAGGAAATGGGCCAAGATGACCCATTTAGATAGAAAGTTTCCAGATTAAACCAGAGATATCTTTTAATAAGGGTAAACGGGATTGTGAAGGAGAAAGAAGAAAATGGAGCCTTAAAATCTTTTTTTAAAAGTTTGAATTTAAATAATGATTAAGATTAAGCTTGAAGAATTGCAGAACTGCTGTGGTAAGAGAGTAGTTGGGTTACTCCTAAGAGTAGGAGTTACCTGGGTGCAAATTACCATTTCACTGCCTCATTTTTACCCTTAGTAGGTTGAGAGTCAGTGCTGGAGAGGAGTTTGAGGTGTGGTGTGAACACAGAGCTCTTGATCTTGGCCTCCCAGGAATTAAGAATTTGTCTAAAACTAAGTCCTGTAGCCAACACTGCTCTATCTCTATTGGGTTCCCCATAAATATGGGAGTAATTACTTGAGCTTTGTAGTCCATATTGATTAATTAATATGTGTTAATAGTGAGCTATTACTATCACTGTGTTTTACATCCCTCAACCTATGATTTCTGATAGAACCAGACAGTTTCACTGTCATCACTTCAAAGTTACCTGGATGATCAGGCCAGTGGTTATGAATTTAACTGCCAGCAATGGCAGGGGAGTCTGGTGAGTGAATAAAAGAAAATCAGGGTGAATAATGCAGATGGGGAAGGACTGGATTGAAGCCTTGTCATCATTTGGGAAAAACAACAGGAAGGAAAGAACAGGAGTGTGAACCCTACCAAGTTAGCATGGATTGAAGAGCAGGCACTGGACTTAGAGTGGCTTAGAAAATCACCAGGCTGAGCTGTACCTGTGCAGTGTCCTTGAAATGTGACACAGAACAGGTTAAAACTCAGGTAACAGAAAACTCAGTTGATTTTCTCCTTTTGTCTTTGGTGACAAGATATTGTGTAACTAGTGGGTGACTGGGAGCATTCATTTGGCTTTTTTAGCTTCTTTAACTGAAACAATGTCCTGCCTGACTCCTTGGTTTCACTTCAAGATAAACCACATGAGTTAATTCATGATTTCATAGCAAAAGTGACCTAAAGAATAAAATCTTGTTGAATGGTAAAGTTTTTTCTCTCAAAAGGGTTTGGCACAGCTGCCCAGGGAAGTGGTGGATTCCCTTCCCTGGGGGGATTTGAAAGCTCTGTTGATGTGACACGTGGGGACAGGGGTTAGTGGTGGCCTTGGCAGTGTGGAATGTGCACTGGGCCTTGTCTGTCATACAGGAAATTTCCCTGGTTTGGGTCTGGGTTACACAAGACATCTTTGTTGCTTTAAGAGCATTAATTAGGTTATTAATTTCTTTCTGAAATGCTTCTAACTAAAATAAAACTCCAGTATGGAAGCAGCAGTGGCCAGAAGCCCATGGTTTTTGCTGTTATGATTTATTTTCTTCAAGGAGACACTGTTATCTATTCCTGAGTTCTCCAAGTGTAATCTCTGTCTTCACTAAGGCTGTGCCAGTAATGCTGCACTTACAAACTGTTTTTCTAGTGGAAAATAATTTGCTTTGTAGTTAAGCACAAAAACAGGGGTAGGTGAGGTTCAGCTGTTTGCTGAGTTTAGATTTTAGTATTCTGAAGTAATTAATTTCTCTTTTAAGGAAGTGCTTTAGTTGTTGTAGATCCTGGAGGAGAATGAAGATGCCTGAAATACTTCAGAATGTCTCTTTTTCTTCATGTAAGAGGTGGTGGAAATCCTGATGATGGCTTTGCTTGAAAGTTGTCCTACACTTTGTCATGTGTGATGCTATAGATGGACCCTGTATGTGTGAAAATGCTCAGAGTTTGGCCAGGCTCTTATTCTGCCTTCTTGCAGAATTCCTGAGTGACTTTGAAGGAGTCATTTGGACTTGTCCGAAGTCCAGCCCCTCTCTGGGAGCTCTTGGTCACAAAAGTTAGTGTAGTGTTGCTTCCCTGCCTCACTAGGATTTGTGATTGGAATATTTAGATACCCCAGGTGGCAGAATTGATGGAGAAGAGTTCTGAGACTCTGCCTGCATGTTAATAAAGGACTGGTCAAATTTTGAAATAAAATGGAGGAGGCAGAAGACAGCACTGTACCCTGTGATCTTGATGGCTGAAAATGATGAATTATTGTAGAATCCCAGAGTGTTTGGGGTTTGGGTTGGAAGGGACCTTAAAGCTCATCCTGTCCCGTCCCCTACCATGAGAAGGGATAGCTCCCACTATCCCAGGTGGCTCCAAAGCCCATCCAGCCTGGCCTTGGATACTTCCAGGGATGTGTCAGTCTGGTGTCTAGGCCAGGCCCATGTCTCAGTTTTATTGATGACTTTTTTTAATGACTGTTTCTTCACGTGGATTACACTATTTCAGTGTGTTCATAAGATTTACTGTAACTAAAGCACACAAGTCCTGCTTTGAGAGCTGTTACAGAGCTTATATATCCAAAGTTTAGTCTTTGGCTCCCAAATCCAAGAGCTCCTCCTTGCTCTTGGCACAGGTTTGGGCTTTGGGCCCTGGTTCAGCACTCAGCTGCCACTACAGTTCTTCTCTCTGTTTGTTAGTCCTGCTGATCCCTCATTCTGCCCTTGAATCCAGGCTCAGGGTTTGAATTCCTGCCTTGTTGCTGTAGAATTGCAACAATAGCAGGAAACCCAGATTTTGGAAGTAGGGAAGGTTAGGGTTAGACAGATAAGGTGTCAGTGTGAATCAGTGTGTGCCTTGAGTAGAATTCAGAAATATCTGGCTGCCAGCCCTGTGCTTAGTCAGAGGTCAGTCCCTTTTGTAAGACTTGGATTATGACAATAATTGCCATTTATATTATATTTTTGCCTTGTAAGATCAATCTCAAGTTCCCTCTCTCTTTCCCAGAGATGTAAAGCAGAGTAAGTTACTCACCCCAGTGGCAAAACGACTGGGTTTGCTCACTGCCAGCATCCATTAAAATTATTTTATCAGCAGAGAATTTCAGAGAATAAGTGGAACAACAGCTTGTGTAGAGCAGTGAGTCGGGGTTTGGGGCTCTTTAACCAGCTGAGAAACTTGAAGCCTCCTGAAGAAACGATGTGTTGATATTCTGCTCTCAGCTTGCCTCCTCTAATTTGTGTAGCGGTGAGTATTTGATTACGCCGGATTTATTTTCAGAAGTTTCAGGCTGCTCTTATTAATTGTCCCCATTTTGATCGAAGGCGTGTGGCAGAGCTCTGCATTCCAGAGCCTCTGTTTTGCATCCCTAAACAGAGCTGCTGACACTGGGGCTCAGCTCGGAGCCTGATTTCCCTCCTTGCTGCAGCACGAGGCTCTCGTTTCCCTGGGATGAGAGCAGTCATTACAAGAATTACATTTTGTTTGTGAATCAGGGTGAATGGGAGTAGAGTCCTTTTTTTTTTTTTTTGAAAATCAGAACCCAGAGTTTCAA